TGAAAGAACACTGTTACTGGCTCAAGTATTAGCTATAGGCAGGAGTTCTAGCCTAATAGTCATACATGATACGCCATAGACAGACAAGTGGTGACGGAATCACCGAAACTGATGCCTTCTATCTATGTGGTCATAACGGTGTTAAGGAGCTGGAAACTTGCACTACTTGCGAGAAACACATGCACGACATGCGACAATTGGGATGGCTGTCATCTCAGATGACCGTAAATGCTTCCGGCTACCTCACCCTGCTCATCTCACACTGAATAGCTCTCCAAGGCTGCTAAATGTCAAATTCATCTTCCGAGAACAGTTGACTTTGGTACTTCAACGGTGGTACCAGACCAAGGGTAAATTGGGAAAACACATCCGATGCTGCAATAGCAAACCTCGAAGCATAAAGAGGCAGCGAACTGAGGACTTAATACGTTCCCAAGCCTCAGTGACACTACAGCGATGCAGCACTGAGAGTGACAGTCAGTGTCACCCGATTTTCCCACCTGAATCCAAGGAAAAACGGTTACAGGCTGGTTCCATCGGAATTGGCCAACTGGTCTCAATACTACTTTTTTTTACTTTTTTTTTAAGTCCACTTACGGCAGATAACGTAACATCAACTTCCCTTACAACACGCTGAGGTTTCGAGTCTCAATATTAGATGCCTCTTTAACGATGTGAGAGGACTGCGAGGGAGCTCGGTAACCTCTAGTCACACTTACACCCTACAATAATCATATTTGCGTAAATCTGGCTAACCCCCACCAGCGCCTGACAACGAAATCAGTATAATTGACATGGTTCCGGTCAGGAGAGACAGCGATAATAAGGAAGGGGGGTTTCCATATGATTTGGCAGGCAACATAAATGCGTACGTACAAAGGACCCACCACTTAGTGAACTCCCAGACTTCATATGGTGTCATTTCACTGTGGGTTACATCAAGCATTTACTGGCTGGCATCTGCCGATCATCCACCTGTGGGGCAGAGCACAACCAGCTAATGCTCAGCACCATTACAGGGATATAGGACTTGGGACCAACTACTCGTCTAAAAGGTCCAGATCATGACTTCCCTAGGAAGTAGTGACCATGAAGTCATAGGTTTCGATCTTGTCGTCCACGAGCACTTGAAAAGCGACGTTACACGACCATGTCTGTGCTATAGCAAGGCGGGCTATTCTGAAGTGTAGAGGCTTTTGTCCGACGCAGATTGGCCCTTGGCATGGGATGAGTTACCTGTGGATGAACACTAGGAGGTGGTGAAAAAAATTATTCACACAGAAGTCTCAGATACAGTTCTTTTCGTCACAGTGCAGACGAAGAAAAGGTCCTCATGGCAGAAGAGAGGTACGCGATGTATTCTGAAAAGCGGAAGGCCTGGTTTACGCGGAGAATATTCAAGAGTCAGACCAACCAGCCTTTGTACCTGGGAATCAGGAACGGGTGCAACGCAAGAGTCGGAGGAGGCAGGAGTTGGTTTCAGGCTGACCTTGTCCGAATCTACTTGTGAGCCCCAAAAGCCTGTATCGATTCAGATCAAAGAGAATACCAACCAACCAGTGATATGCGCCTTAGTTGGTCCAAGCGGTCAATACCTCACTAGTCTGAAGATGGCTAAAACATTCAGTTTAGCCTTCACCAAACAGTTACACGGCAATGTGGGCATTACAGCTACGGACCAAAATGGAGAAACTACTACTTCACTGGGGGAAAACCTCTCCAAATAAACCTGGAAATAGTGCTAGGGAAGCTACAGAGTCTCACTTCTGTAAAGTCCCCAGGTTGTGACGACATCAAGCCATCTGTTCTAAGACAGTGCGCCGAAGCTGCCTCTAGGCCCTTATTTGACTTGTTCGAACGGTCGATGGATTCAGGGAAGCTTCATAGCGAGTGGGAGAAAGCCATTGTCAGTGTAGTTGAAGACTGAACGATCAATTCACGGTTGTTTGCTCAAACCCAACTTCCCCATAATTTTCGCGGAGGCATCAATACACCAGTCATCGTCTCATCGGTCGCTGTTCAGAAAGAAACTAGAAAAAACTGTCAGAAGTAATATCGCGATTTATTGTTGTAATATTTGTTCTTAGACCTTAGTCCGTAATACCAATAATGCTGGTTATATGATGGTGTTAGAATAAAGAATTCTCGAGTCGCCAACCTGTGTTATGGTTTTTGCGTCCGTTAGTAGGGCGAAACAGCTGTTCAGTACTCCCAGGTTTTCCAGCGGCTCTCTAACTGATGTCAGCTCATGAATTAATCCTCCATACAATATCATTTTGTGTTTTTGGATTCACTGTGTTTTCTTGTTGTTTTCGTACCTTGTTGTTATGCATAATGTTGTTAAAATTTTCGCCGTGCTTACTTCTGAAGTTGTTTCGAGTCTCCTACATCCGTTAACGAATTGATTGATGTTAAAGAAAGGAGGTGGGTCGTATACCCCTGGGAGGCTAGTGCTGAGAATGACATGCAAACGGAGATAAGGATTGGCTATGGAATCAATGATTCGGAATGCATGTTTCTATTTACTCTGTGGTCCCACACGCCGGGGAGCAAGTGTGTAGACGACTGAGGCTTGCATTCGTCACCATTAGTATGACTGAGACGGAATGAGTGACAATTGATAGCAGTGCCAATATATACTGAATAGATAAGAGTATTATGAGATTCTGCTATGGTCACGTTGCGTTCTGCAAGAGGCATTCTGGCAAGTGGTGATTGTCAAGATGTTGCTTCTAACTGGAATGCGTAGGTCGTCGCTGACGAGTGAGACTTTGTTGTGGGTATGCCTGTGGTATGTTGGCTTTTCTGTTTGTTTTCCATTTCAGCTTTGTCCTTGTGGCCCAAGTTCTCGCAATTGCATCCTGGTCAACCTGTATTGGCCGTGATGGAAAAAATGGATGGACACATTTTTGGGGGGAGTGTCAACGTAATTGAAGATTGAACGATCAATTCATGGTTGTTTACTCAAAACTAACTCCATGCTTTGGTGAGAGTCACCGGTACTGCAATCATAGTTCCATCGTACGCTATTCGTTGGACGACGGAGAAATACTATCAGAAGTATTATTGTAATTAATTATTATGACATTTATTCTTAGACTTTGTGTATAATAACCTTATGGTTGGTTCCATATTGGTGCAAGAATAAGGGATTCTCGATTCACCAATTTGTGTTCTGCTTTTTCGAGTTGGTCATTGCACATTGTTGCTGAAGGCCTTCTAAGGACGGCGTTAAGTCCAGTGTAGTTAGACCTGGTTATTGACATTGACGTCATGGTGGTATACGAATTTTCCAAACCATTTGGTCTTCCTAGGTTTTGTTAAGGCATTTGACACAGTTAACCATGGCCTTCTCCTGTACACAATAAATCAGGCAGTCATGGTTGGGCAGCTGCTTCGTGGTTGAGGGAATACCAGCTGAAAGAGGGGTCTGCACCAAGGTCCACTGAGTTCAATCACAGCACAGGTCGTCATCAGAAGTGTCGCAGGACTGTATCCTAGAACCACTGGTGTTGTTGATTTTTAACACTGACTTAACATGCCGTCTAACCTGCCTAACTCTTCTTAATGCTGAGTATGTAAGGATATGAAGAGCGATCAAATGTTTAGAAGGTTCATACGGGCTGCAGGCAGATCCAAAGCTTCTGGAAGACCGGGCTACTGGTATGACTTTCAACCTGCAAAAGTGCAAAGTCGTGAAATTACGTTCATGTAGGCTACAGAATGCAAGTTACACCCTGTGCAACAAAGCTTCTCCTGCACAATGTCGGAGCGTGAGTTAGGTCTAGTTCTAACGGAGAAAATGGAAACAAGCGCAAATTACACAGGGGATGTAGCTAGGGTATATGCGGTCATACATTTTAAATATAGACATTTGGGTGCACTCACTCCTAAGCTCTTTCTGAGGTTGTACCATACATACGTCAGACCTCACCTTGAAGTGCACAATATTGTTGCACCCCTACTGCTTAGAAAGACCCTAACCTTTTGGAAAGAGTCCAAAGACGGGAGACAAAACGAGTGATGGATCTCTGCAAAATAGTATGGCGAACGGTTAAATAAATTAGGCCTCTTCACACTTAACTACCGTCAGCATACGGGGTACTTGATTACTGCCTATAATATAACGTGACTAGAATCACCCAAAGGTATTCTGCCGTTAAGTAGATATGGACTTCCTCGTGGAAATCGCAGAAGGAAAGCTCACCAAAGGGCATAGACTTGAGTGCACTCCAATTTCTTTTCACTGCTGACTCGCAGTCCCTGGAACTCCTTACCAATAGATGTGGCTATGGCACTGTTTGTGGGCAATTTCAAACGAAGGCTGGACAGTCACGCAGCCACACGAGGGCTGCGCCTAAACGGCCTATCTCCTAAAAACCTATACATCATTTATGAGTAGACATCTAAATTCATCTTTTTCTTCTTTATGTTCCCTCTTGTTTTATTCTTCTGACTACTCCAACTACCACACACTTATTATTATTGAAATTATATACATATGTATTTGTATGTGTATATTTATCAACTTTAAGTTTAATCGGCCGTCTGTTTTTACGTTTACTTTATTTCTCTTTCTGTCTTTTAGTGTGAATAATCTACGCTAATTATATCCTTTATTATTATTGTCTCTTTTCTTCTGACACGGCACCCGAACTCTAACTGGTGGAAGGATCAACTCCATTCACAGTAGTCACAAAGTCTTAACACACCGCAAACTACAAACAACATATAATTGGTGCCAGCATCACTCCATTTGGAGTCAACCAAAGGTACGATAGTCGAGTGGCGGGATGAACTACGCAGAAGCTTACCAAAGACAAGAAACCTTTACATCACAATCAGGAAGCGGCCACAAAGAAATCAAACTGGTTTACACTAACTCGTGAAAATAAAATGGATGAAAGTGATCTTCAGGTGTCTAACTCTTCTAGTGACCTTGAGCATGCAGGATAATTTCAGCCTAAAATGACATTGGATATTGGAAGTTGATGATATTCAATATTTGGTTGTCATGGTCAACTGACCTTCACACTATTTTAAGTAGGAGATTCTCGAAAAATGACTGCTAGTCGTGACGCTTATAGCACTTTGAAAACGGATGACAGGACCAGAGTAACAATACCAGAATACAACAACAGAGATGGGCATATGAAAACATCACTTTATGGTGGAGCCGCCTGGTATATACCTTCAGAAAGACGTTGGGAATCTTACAGTGAACATTTTGAACTACCAAAATTAACACGCAGAGATGCCATAGATTTTCAGTCTGAGAAAGACTTTTTGAATTTTCTTAAAAAGCGTGACATTCCAGATTGTTAGTTGAATCAACTTTGTGTCATTATTCGCATTTACATTTAGATAAGAAAATCACAGCTTATTATCCTTCTCACCCTCCATCTGTTAAATGGAATAGTCATTATCGAATTCCATCCTCGCAAACTGCTGGTGATCTGCGAGAATGTATTGACCAAAGACGTATTTGGGATGATCCGGGTTATTATGGGTATTACCAAGAGGTAAATGAGATGCACTATTATTCACTTATATGAATATCATATGAGGCGTATATGCCTCACTGAATCGATTTCATTTTCGGTGCAACTTTCAATCTTTGTCGTTATAAGTGACTAATTACGAGAGTCGTTTAAACGCCGCGTCACAATTTTGGTTTAAAATAATTTTGAAGAAATCAGGGGTAATTAACTTTGGGTTTTAGAGAAAATGCTAATGTTTAGATGTATTCCTTCAAAAATTTACGGTGATAATCTTATGGATTACCCGAAATCGAGCTCAAAAAATTGCTTGGGGAACTGGAGATCATTGTATGTCATCATGAATGATCGGCAAAGTTAAATTATCATAGCCAAAACTACAGTGACTTTCAATAACCAATATGAATTCAGATGGAAAAATTCTCATAATCGCTAGAAAATACATTAAAAAGCATCGCAAGCGTGATTTTATACCCTAACCCTAACTTTAACCCTAAACCTTAATGTAAAAAGCCATAACCCTACCTAACGGTATAGATTTACTGAAAAAGTACATAGAGAATAAGTGGAATACTTAAGTCCAGAAAGGCAGGCATGATTTATTTGGAATGACATTTGACAGCGCTCCTTGTATCTGACTGGTTCTTCAAGGTCAACATTTGAAAGACACTAGCTTTGCCTGTGATACTTTAACTTCGCGAAATAATCTATGTGACGGCAAATCAGACTTGTGGGAATCATTTGCAGCTGACTGTCTAAAACTTCCTGCCATCGTTTTTCGGTACTAATAGAGAAATAATAGTCAGTGGTCATCACTGCCTTACTATGATCGACCATGGGTTTCGTGTACGATTACCACTGTTGCACAATCCACATTAGGATAGAAAAGCAATGTTTCCCTGATAATAATCGTATCTGGACACAATCAGTACCCCTGTGTATATGTGGCTTAATTTTGGTCTTTCTGTCCTCAAACGGTAATTAACATCTGTTTTGAAAGCTTATCTCTTTGAATAATACAAAATCAAGTTTCATTATCTTTTTATGACATTTGGCCTCTTTTATTTGTACTTTCCTTTATTAAACAGTCAGATAGAATAAGGAGGTCATTACCACTGGTATAATCGTATTAAATGTCAATCGATTTTAGTATTTCTGTACGCCTCAGGCAACACTTATAAGAAATCACTGTCATTAGCTTGGAGAATAGTCTTTTGGGAATATAATATTGTAAACATCGATTGGTAGAAACGCTCTCTCAAAAGATTTATACACTTTGGCTTTCCAGAGTGTAAAATCAGATTTCACTGGAAGTGCTTGTAAGAGTTCTATTGTTTTAGAATAGGAAATTATAATCCTCAGAGAGTAAGACCATTTTCAATGTTCTTAGGCTAAAATCCTTTGAATTAATTACTGATGACATCTTTGTACTTCTTGTCGTTATTTTCCGTTCGTAGTTCAAATAAGTTTATTGAAGTAATTCAGTGCTTATCGGAGTTGTACGTTCAAATCATTCCTTTAATCGGGAAAACATACAGAAAGGGGATGTCTTTAAGTTCCTTGCAGAGATTTTCAGAAGTTAGAACTGCATATATTCTTTGAGTTGTAGGACATTTTGCACGCAATCAAGTGTTGTTTCCATCAAAATAAGACACATGAAACGTTTATTATTCCTTTACGTTCCTAGTAGAACATAGGGCTTCAAGCTAAGAGCTAGCCTCATACCCAGCCTTCCTTTTTACCAGTCCTATTACCGGTATCGCAAGGTAAAGGAGTGAGTCGGCCGGAGATTGAACCCTAACCACCTGCATGGTTGACTAGCATTCTGCCTCTGTGCCACCGACGCACTACATGAAACTAGGCTTTATTTAAATGATACTAGTTTAACTTCGAATGTTTCTTCATGGTATTTCCGAATCAGTTTACTTCTCACCGGACGACATTACTTTTTTGGCTCTTGGAAGGAATACTTTTTCGTCGCATTCTTTGAAACAAGGTTTCCAATATGTATTTTGTGTCTTGATTAGCAAAAATTTATTAGAGGCAACTTAGTAACTCATTCCCTTATAACACATTATAAAGCTAAATATTTTGCCAATATTTTGTACCATAACTTCAGAAGATTTTTAAAATGAGTGCTTACGTTGCTTTGTTTTGATTTTGAACTTCATTTCTTATAATATTCATAGAAAACTCTCAACTCAACAGTAATATTAGCTTTTATGTTCCTAGAGGAACATAGGGCTTCAGCTACACGTCTCTATTGCGTTCGGTTCTCTGCCAACGTTTCCACCTAGCTCTACGTTCGCCCGCAGGCTTTCATCTCCTCTTCACATCACCTTCTCCATGTCACCCTCGCACTGACGACCAACTCGCCGCTTCCCGTTCATGTTCCACTAGATCGATCGCCTGGCCTGTGATGTCACTTGGTGGTTTATTTTCTCAGAGAATGGCTAATCTAACTCCATTTTTCCCGCATATTTGTTGCACAGTTGGTTCCTGCTGGGTTGGTTCGCTCCCAGAGATTCCTCCCTGTTGCTGATCTTTTCTGGCCGGCCACTTGATATTGAGGGATGTATTGAGCGAAAACATCTGTTTATGAAAGTCTGTAGTTTTTCGATGTGCCCTTCGTGACGCGCCAAGTCTCTGATCCCTATAGTAGCACTGACTTTACATTGGAGTTGAAAATCAGGATCTTATTTTCATTTTCATGCTGAGGAGTGCTGTTAATCGCCACACAAACTTGAGATTAATGAGAGCTTGTCTTGCTTTACCAATCCTCGCTTTGATATCCTCGTCAGTTCCATCGGCCTATAGTCAAAACGATGCTTCCCACTCGGGTAGGTAGGTGAAGGAGGTTGTTCCTTTCAGATTCTCCCCATTAATTGTGACTCTTGTCTGTTGCTGTTGGCCAGGAATCTTTATCACCTCTGTCACCGCATAAATGAAATTGTTGTATTAGGCGGCTGTGGATGTTAGTCACTTTTTAGCCTTTACTGTTTCACTCAGTGCTGACATTTATTTCAGAAAATGAGTTACTCAATGATGAAAGGTTAATAGGTGATAACACGTGTAAACCGTATATAACACACGCTGTGCTACTAGTTACTTAACACTTCTGACTACTGTTAGTGTATACGAAACTGTAATACTAAAAACGTTGCTTCGATGTAGTCGGTGTGTGTATGACAGGCCAGTTCAAAGATTCGTTTTCGGTTTTTTAGTTCCAGATCAACTATCACGGTAGATTACTCTGAAAACAGAATATTCCATCCAGTACTCATGAAATTCTTAAAAGCATAGAGTGTCAAGTAATGGTAGCTACATATATATACATATATATCGAGATAATCAATTCTTTATAGATGATTAAAACAGTTACTACTGATTTAACAGCAATTCAGCTTCCTGGACTACATCTTCTTTGAATACCCTCACCTGTACTTGTTATGAAGTAGTCTAGAAGTGTGTCTTACGTTAAAATAACTTCACTTTTAGCAGCAAGGGTAACTGATATGTATAGTATGTGTTCACTTACTTTTCTCAGTCAGTAAGAGGAAAATGTTGACCATTCGCTGAAAGATTAACAGTTATCAGTTAGTATCTGAAACTTTTCACCCCAATATAAATATAATTAAACTTAGGCAGCCAAAGCATTACATTCTGGCTAGATAATAAAATAAGAAGTACTCATTTAAGACATGAAGATGCGTTGGTAGTTCAATGATAGAATGTTTGCCAACCACGCACGAGCTCCCCTTTTAAATCCCAGACAACAAAGACTCGTGAATATAATCTCTTTTTACCAGATTTGATAAGAAATTACGAAAAAAGACCACTCCTAAAGAAATTATATATTTAGGAGTGTAGGAGAAAGTGGAGATGGATCGGGCATACATTGTGAAGGCCACCGAATGACATCGCACGCTAGGGCCTCTAGTGGAATCCAAGTGGAAAGCGTTGAGTGGGTCGTCCTAGGGTGACATGGATGAGATCTTGTGAGGAAGAGATGAGAGACTTTGGTCAATCGTGGACCCAGCTGAAGAGGATGGCAGAAAACAGAACAAAGTGCAGTTGTGTTGTTGAAGCCTTGTTCCACTCGGAACGCAAGGGAATAAAAATAATAATTTAGGAGTGTGCGTATGTAAATCTCACCCCTAAAATATATTTCTTTCACGTAAACCCAAGAACAATTGGTAATCTGAAGCCGAAAGTACGAGGTATATTAAGAGACTGGTACTATTGGTCAGTAATCCATGGTTAACCAATAGCATATTTTGCACAAACAACCGAATGTATTACAACATTGTGAAAAATGGCTATGCTGTTTGAACTCGTACCTTCAGCTCAGCCAGTCGACTTAAACAGTGTAGTTCAGCACCCAGTGATGATGAGAACTATAAGCCAATAACTCTAAGGGATTATTTATCTCGGGCAGTATAAATTTTACTAATTTACTGTTTATTTCTTCCCCATCTTACTTAAAGATACTAGATTAAAGAATATTTATAAATTTAATTTAATTTAGATTAATCCTATGCACAATGCTATGGGAGATTGTGGACAATAAGAAATAGAATTATTTAGAAGTTCATTCTATTCTATATCTCTACTATTAATTCGATGATTCCAGATTGTAATTTAATTATTCCCCCCCACCCATCTATGATTTATACAGACTCCATGTCATTAAAATGTTTATTCAACTGCTTTGTAATTATTGTGATTCAAGTTGTACCTTAATAAGAATTATATTAGTTCATTTGATTCCTCTTTTTTTACTAGGGTTGTCTAGCAAAGTGCGTATGTGTGCAGTATTAGTTGATCTGTAAATCATGTAGTCTGGACTTGAGATAATTAGTATTCTCAAGATTTGATTTACGGACATTTGATTGATTTTAATTTTGATCACGAATTAGCTTTAGATAGAGAACCACTGAAGACCAAGGGAGTACTGGACAGCTGTTTTGTCCTACTTTTGGACTGCTTTGCAGTACACACTCATGATACCACCAAGGATTTGACCCCATGACCTTCAGATGACAAAGCGAGCTCATTGACTATTCAGCCACCGAAATGGATTCGAATGATGCACGAATTCCTATTTCACGATAAATAGCGCAATTTGCAGCCAATATTACTGGCGAGTATTTGTCTTCACACCCAATTTGGTGGACCTCGTTGGACATGATCTTTCACTACAACTTCAGGCCACTTCATCTTGTAGTTAGTCATTAGTGAGCACTAGATTCATTTTCAAGTTACAGGATTTCATCATGAGCTGAAATTAGTTAGAGAACCATTGGAAAACCTGGGAGTACTGGACAGCCGTTTCGTCCTAGTTTGGGACTCTTCATCAGTACGCACCCACCGGGACTGGAACCCAGGACCTTCTGGTTACAAGGCGAGCTCGTATACCAATAAGCCACTGGGACACGAAGAATTCTAACTTCTGCCAATTCACGACATAGCGCGACCCCCTAGCCAATGTCTTTGGCGATGGTTTTCCAATGGTTCTCTAACTAATGTCAGCTCATGATGAAAAATCCTGTAACCAATCAAATCCCTACAAACCAACACTTGAATATCATTTTCAAGTGTTGGTTTGCAGACATTCGATTGATTTTAAGTTTCATTACGAATCGATTTCAGTTAGAGAAATAAACAGCTCTCCAGCACAATATTATCTTAAATGGTTCTGAAATTGAAGTCATTTTTTTCCCACACTTGAAATCCGTAATTCAGTAATCTTACTATTACTAATTTATGTTAAGATACTTTCATGAGTGTTATGAAGCAGGCAGTTTTCTTAATTTAACTCTCTTATTTACAAGCATCTTAACTGTATCACATATAAACAAATAAGAGTTGAAGTTTGATGTTCTGAAACGGTGATCTTGTATCTGACACCCATTGATTCGCTGACTATTGATCTAAGTTGTACAGACAAGTGTAAACACTATGAATCAATCTGAGGCAATTAGGTAGATGGGGACTAGCAATGGAATCCAGGATGTGCCTGAAATCCCTAGTAGGTGATGATCAACCCACTGAAACTCGCTATCCTTCATTTTGTTTGCCAAAACGTTATCCAATTGGGCCACAAGAACTACCTGTAGTGCAACAGGGATGAGTTGTTATTTGTGATAAAACCATCACTCACTGGGAAATGCAGATACGTCCAGCTGAATAGTCCGAAAAAGAGGAAGGAGATGTGCATCCTGGATTCCATTGTCAATCACTGTTCATCAAATTACTTCAAGCTAATCCTCCGATATCACTGAAGCGTCCGTACTAGGAGCCAATATGTCGACACAGGTTGAATATTTCTCTCTAATTAATCAACTGATGGGAAAATCAAAAATTGACTTAAAAACAATATATATATATATATATATATATATATATATTAGGTTACTGACATTATCTTCTACGTTAGATATTTTCTTTTGGTACCTCCATTTTAATTCAGACTTGTTACCGTACACACACTTGTTTTGCTCTTTGACCTATCTGTCGAGAGATTTTAGTTAAAAAAGGGAAGTCTTGACTGAGAAATAAATCTGATGACTATGTAAAAGATGTTTTTTTTACAGGTTTTTGAGTGTTTTTAGTCTATGATATATCCCTTTTAAACGTCTACACGTATGAAGTAAAATGTTTGCCCAAGTTACAACTGTCTGTATTGTTATTTAATGCTCTAAAGATAACATGCGATTATTTATACTTGAGATTTTAGACTGAATAGGCTTATTTACTTATAAGATGATTTCGTTAAGTAGAAATATATTCCAGTAGATCATAATAATTATAGGCTCTTATTAGCACAGCATAAGAGTACGTGATCGAAAGGAGGGCAGGTTTTAGGTTTAGACACCCAAGAGGCGCACACATACACCGATGACTTTGGGAAAAGTAAGCCCTCTAAAAGTAAATTTGGTCACTGTCATCTTAGCTAGTTTTGCTTGCTAACCAGGTTGAGGTGATCCAAATAATGGACAGCTGTTAACTATCTGACTAGTTCAGAAATTAATAATTGGAAGCAATTAGTGTTCCTTTCATGAATTTCGATAACATAATAAGAAGACGTGATTTATCTGAAACGTGTGTAATGCTAATTGTGCAACACACTTCGGACATTCTAGTCACACACCAATTCGTATTTATATATTAATAATCAAAAACAGATTTTTAATGCCTAATGTAGAAATGTAAGTCTGTCAACAATTGAACCATCCGGATTCTGGCTATCTAATCAGGAGAACTTGTCATACACTTAGTCGAATTCGAAATTTCCACAAATCTAGGTCAAATTTCACCATAGTTTTTTTTTTCAGAAGCTGAAATATATTGAGACACCCATTGACTTTATCAAGCTGCTCAGAATTTCGCCTTTCAATGGAATCTGTGGTGAAATTCTACCTTGAAATGTGTATAATTTGCAAATCGCTAGTTTGATTCTATCTCAAGTAGTTGTATCCATAAATTTGACCGTATTTTAACTGAATGTACTACAAAGCTAAAAGTTTACTTAAAATTATTCACATTTATCAATCTGTAGGGTTCGACATAAAGTTCATTTTATGATTTACCAATCAATATTATGAAGTGATTCTGGTTTCGCATTACTTTAGTTCACTTGACTTTTCTTTTGGTTAATATTTAAGTTAATCGGTTGGAAGATTTCATCATGAGGTGAAATCGCTAGAGACACATTGGAAAACCACCTGGGAATACTCGACACCTGTGTCGTCCTGGCTTGGGACTCTTTGGCAGTACGCAACCACCGCGGTTCGAACCCAAGACTTTCTGATTACAAGGCGAGCTCGTAAACCATTAAGCTACTGGGGTCCGATTCTTTGGCCTATGAATTCTAACTTTGGCGGGTTCGTACTGATGAAGAGTCCCAAGCTAGGATGAAACAGCTTTGCAGTACTCCTAGCTGGTTTTCCAAAGTTCTCTAACTGTTATCAGCTCATGATGAAATCGTCCAACCAATCAAACAAAAAGTATCCCTACAAAACCAAATACTTGAAAATATAAGTTTATCGACGCAGAGATTTTGTAACTGACATTTGAACACTTAAAAGGGACATCAGTATGTGAGGCATGTTTTAGCTTTATCAGTGGTTTGCTTCATTTGCTCTGAGTACTGCAAGACACCACGTCAAAGTCTGCCAACCAAGTGTGATTACTTCTGCGAATAATGGCGAAAAAGAAGTATTTCTACCTCAGTGTACATTAATATTTTATTTTATTCCATTACGTTCCGAATGGAATAGACAGCTGCAAGCTGGAGCTTTGAAGTTTCAGTAGTGATATTACTTTTAGTTTTTACGGGATGGGGTTACTAGCCTCATGCCCACCAACCTTCCCTCTTTACCAATCTTATTACTGGCTTAACGAGCTTAAGGAGTAGATTGGCCAGGGACCACATGCGTAGTTAGCGAGTATTCTACCGCTGAACCACCGACGCTTTACCTCAGTATAGTCAGATGTATATATTTTCTTTCCGTGGATTCCTAATGGAACATAGGGCTCCACGCTTTGAATTTTCAGTAGTAATGATGATAGTTTCACGGGGTAAGATTGTTAACCTCGCACCCAGCCTTCCCCCTTTTCTAGGATTACTATCAGCCGATAAATTCGACGAAGTCTAGAAGTGCGTTTAACGGAAATCGAGCCTGGACCACATGCATGGCTAGCAAATACTCTACTATGGAAACCACCGATCATATTTCATTAAAGTTTAACTAAAGCGAGTAGTGTTATACTGCAGACATTTATGTCACACTGAAATGCCACCCACTAAAATAGTTTGTTCATTTAAGAATTTGAATAAACCGACTCTTTAATATTTCTGACTGGCTGAATAGAAAATAACATAGTTAGTTCACTTCCCTTCCGTAGAACTTTAATACAACATTCTGATTTCTATCACAATCTCTGTACATCTAATTTGTAGTCACTTTGAATTGTATTCAGATATCAATAGATAATCTTAATAATCAGCATATAATTTATGTTTTTCAAGTTTGACCACGGATTGATATCAGTTTAGAGAACCATTGAAAACCAGCATTGGAGTACTGGGCAGCTGTTTCTTCCTAATTCGAGATTCTTCGGCGGTACTTACCGAAGGGGATCGAATCCAGGACTTTCCGGTCACAAGACAAGCTCGTATACCATTTAGTCACTGAGACGCGATTCAGTGGCTAGCCTATGAAGTCTAACTTCGCGCCACCACCCCCCAATGTCATCAACGGGAAATCCATCCCTACTTCCAACTGCCTGGACCTGGCTGGTCACGACTTCTCACTAGAACACGGGGAAACTTCGTCCTGTAGCAAGTCACGAGCTTGCCTTGTAACCGGAGGGTCCTGGGCTCGAAACCCAGTGGGTGCATACTTGTGATGATTCCCAAACACTAGGATGAAACAGCTGTTCGGTACTCCCGACTGGTTTTCAATGGTTCTCCTAAATGAAATCAATCTGTGGTCAAACCCGGAATACAAATCTAATCCTTACAAATCAACTCTTGAAAATTTTATGATTTTATGATTTAATACTGAAGACTAAAATAGTGCATAAAGACAGTTCTAATTTTGATATAACATTCTATTGGGGTTAATAAATGCAAGAACAATGTAACTTTATAATCAAATGACACAATATTTTATCCTTCCTAAAGTTTTCTATGTTTTGTAAATTACAGATACTTGATCGAATGACAAGAGAGGATTGTAGAAGACTACCACGTTCTGGTATGGTGGGTACTCCTTATTTTACACATCGACCTATTACTAATCTATCAATACAAAATCAACTGTCAGTTAATCTGTTATTCATAAGTGTCAAGAGTTGTAGAACAACAGAGGTCCATCCATCCGTGAAATATATAGAAAAATGACAGTGATTTATTTGATTTTGAGACAATCCATTTTTTGTTTTCTTTCAACACATTCATCCTATATATCTCCGACGGATATATATATATATATATATATATACAGATGATGGATGGTACACATAAAAAAATGACAACCTTAAATACACAAAGAGTATTGAACTATTGAACTGTTCAACTTCTTAAAAGTTTATTTAAAGTAACCTATTCATAAATTTATTCATTAATCTATCATAGATATGAAATGTAATAAAAAATGTCTATGTTCATTAAAAAAGGGGAATTTGTCATCTTTTTAGTTTTACCTCATGAAATATACTCATCCAAACGTCGGATAAAGAACAGACTGTTCAATGATGAAAACTTGTAACCAATCAACCAAATCCCTACAAAACTAATACTCGAAAATCAATGAAAGGCTCACTAGCGACTGGTCGTATTCAAGTAGGTGGTTACCTGGGGTTCTAGTGGGACGTCGTGACCAGTAGGGTACAACAGTTCGGGCGTGAGGACAGATACTCGCTCTGGCTAGCAGTCGCGGTATGTCGTGAGAATTAGAAGAAGTTGGAATTCATGGGCTAGCCATTGGATCGATCGGATTCCAGTGGCTTAATGGTCTACGAGCTAGCCCGCCTTGTAGCCAGAAGGTCCTCGGTTCGAGCCCCGGTGGGTGCCTACTGTTGGATAGTCCCAAACTAGGACAAACAGCTGTCTAGTATACTCCCTGTTGGTTTTCAAAGGGTTCCCTAATCAATGTCAGCTCATGATGAAATCCTGTAACCAATCAATGGAAAGTCGCTTTTCGGCGAATTTATTCATTTAGTTGCACTATCACAATTTTATATAAGCATTTTTTGTTGTATGTACATTTGTGCGTATACAAAGCAAAAAATAAAAAAATACGCGAAAATACCATTGAGTCATGAAGAAATGACTTTAGAAGTTCTATGCGTCGGTGGCATAGCGGTTAGGACGCTCGCCGACCATGCACATGGTCCGGGTTCGATCCCCGGCCGGCGCACTCCTTTACCTCGCTAAGCCACTAGTGAGACTGGTGAAGAGGAAAGGTTTGGCATGAGGCTAGCAACCCCATCCTGTAAAAATAATCACCACTGCTACAGAAACTTCAAGCATCTAGCTTGGAGCCCTATGTTCCACTGGGAACGTGAAGGAAAATAAAAAAACAAATTACGTAGTACTCAACGGCAAAAAGGAAGAAAGCGTTAGATATTAGATAAGGTTAAACTTGTTATTGAGTGAGAATAAAGGTGGTATTTGAGTGTCGATTTAACAGGTGTAAAGAAGGTAAGAAAATTGACAAAAGGAACATTTGAGAGTGATAACAGTGAATTAATTATTAAAGTAAAAGCAAACTAAAAGTAAAATTAAAAATTAAAATTTCTTTTTTGAAGGGAACGACTAGTGAAGAAGTTAAGACCTAAGTAGAATAAGAGATTGGAAAAACTTTTTCTGTATAAAGAATTCGGGGTTGTATTGGCGAATTGCCAACGCCTCCACCATACACAAATGCCGAAATCTGACGCGCATTGTACCATTTGTCCTCACCTCGTAGATAATCTTCAAAGACGAATCTGATGGATCTACGTGGTTTGAGTTCACCAAGTGTTCGGGAGTACAGCTAGTAACTGTCTTACATTGTCCTTTTGCTAACGATCCCGGATAACGTTCAGAGGTGCATTTGTAAACTGTGCCCTTTGTGGACCAATATTACTAGCTCCACAGAAGCAGGTGAATTTATAAACGCACAATGAAGTGGCCCAAAGCGGCAGTTTATCCTTCACACATCTATTGATCATTCGTCGGCTATTAAAACTGATCCATAGCTCAGCCGCAGAGAAGGCTTTTCTAAATGATTAAAAAGCTAATAAATTTAGACTGAGGTTCCACAATATGCAGAAAATGGTTAAGAAAAAATCGGATGTTAAGGTGAAAGACCATTGAGGCAGAGGTAATATTATGTTGTTAATAAATGTTGTACAGGAAATGCTCAAAATAAGATTGATAACAAAATCATGAAAAAAGTTGAGCTTGGAATTATACTTGAAGTAGAATGGGTGGAGGATGAAGAAGTTTCCTCTGTGTAAGTACATCAGGGTCTTCTATCTGAATCAATAAAGCCTCATAAATGCAAAGTATGTGGGAGAATATCGTCTTCGCAAGGCTTGTTTTTCACTTTATAGATAACCTTGAATGAATTCTTCCTGTATACTGAGTGGCCATTGTTGAATATGTTCAATAAAGAGTACTATAATTAAACATATTCAACAGCGACCACTCAGTGTGTAAAGAAAATTCGTGAAAGAAGCCTCCTGAAAATGGTGTGCTTCACTATACTGTTTTGAATGCCCAATTACTAATTCATCACAACTTATCTCTATGGTTTGGAACAATTAGATTGTCTAATGACAGTTTATTTAATCAAATATGCTGCGTGCAAATGAAACAGGTTCAGGCACTGCTGCTACCCTGATCGGATGTGGAACCAATAAGTTCGTTAATTCTGCATTGTTTTTCTTAACACATTAATGACTTTAATAACAATGATTCTTTAATTACTATGCTCATATAACTGCAGAAGCTGATGACGAATTTATCGAGGAGAGTACTCTTTGTTTACTAATCAATCTTTTAAAAAAACAAATCAATTTTAATGCAAACATTAGTCAAAATAGTCATTTAAACGAACAAAAAATTTTACTGTTTAAAAGTAAGAAAAAACTGAATGTAAGACAGAAAAATTAGTGAGTTGAAACAAAATAAATCCGTCGATCTACATAAAACACATTAGTAATTCAGGAACCCTGGAAATAATAATTGGCTAGGAAGTTTAGATATGATAGAGAACTCATTGCAGCACTCTCACCTTAAGGAAAATTGAAAAAAAATATCTCGTGGACGTCTTATAAAAGAATGGATATCCACAGAATTTCATCAAAAGACATATACCCCCAAGCCAACCTATCAAACCAAAAGCCATCAAGGAAAGCACAAAGAAAATCGCCTTACCATGTATAGAGGAAATTTCATACATTTATTCCCCTTAATGAATTTGAACAAATGGCTAGTGATTATAAAGGTGAAAATATTGCAGCGATGATCAACAGAAGGCTGAGTACATCACTAGCCATAGCGTATCCTGCAGCTAAGCTCGTTCCCGTCTATCGAACAACTTGCTCTTTGGTGCAATCAAAAATCGATAGATATCCTTCTCATGTTACCTCCAACTGTGTATACAAATTTACATGTATCTGCGGGAGCAGTTACATTGGAAGGACAGAAAGAAGGGCATATCTACGATTTTCTGAACATGTACCAAAAAGCTTACGTCTAAAGGGAACAAATGCTTTAAACAGTGCCATCACCAGGCATCTTCTCGACACGGGTCATGAGGTGGACGTTGAAAAGTCGTTCAAAATTATCAATAAGCAAAATAGCTCAATTCTCCTTAAGTTTGCTGAAGCCATTTCCATCAAGCGCATGAAACCTGATTTATGCGTCCAGAAAGAAGCGGTTATCAGCCTTTCTTTGCCCTGGTAACTGGATAATTTCATCTCTCTTTCCTCCGAATGTGAAATGCTAAAAGTTTCCATTGTGTTTGATTATTATTGTTCGGAATAGTGGTTAATATTGCATATTTATATATGTATATATTTTTAGTGCATGAGTATATTGATCGATTGATTTTTGTTTAAACTTAACTCTGCGCAAGTATGTTAAAATTGTTGTTGTAGATACATTTAATAATGTCTTTGCCATGTAAGCAGCTGACGAGAAGGCAACGAAATAAAAGATGGTACCATTTTATTCTGCTAAAACTGTAGTTCTTGCTTTGTTCAAATATAAAGGAAATCTCAGAAATCGCTACAAGACTCTTCAAACCTTCAGGAATTGACGTCGTACACAAAACAAAAAAGTCACTTCACTCAATTCTATGTCAAGCAAAAGACACAACAGCGAAAGAATATAAAACCAACATTATCTACAAAATAAATTGTAACAACTACGAAAAACACTAAGTTGGCCAAAGTGGACATCCCCTTCGTCTCCGTATCCAAGAACATAAGCTAGCCGTCAAAAGACATGATATCCACTCCCTCATATCGCTACGTACAGACCACCACGGACATCAATTTAACTGGGACAACTTTCAAATATTAGACAGAGGAAACAACAAGAATGCTAGAGAATCTTTAGAAAGCTGCCTGGCATTCCAGTGAACATCAATCAATAGACACATCGAGATAGACAAAATTTATCAACCGACAAGAAAGAAACCTCACACACAAAAGGTCAAAGTTGAAGTCAAAGAAGCAATCAGTTCCAATACAAGTAACTTAGAAGATGTGAAAACACACAAAAACAACCAATCACATCCACGGTGAGAGATGATTAATAAATTCGTGGAGAAATCTAAAAGCTCACTTCAATTCAAATTGAAGTATGCGCTGAAGATGTCGCCTAGTAGGGCGATGAAAGCTTCGCAAATTAACTATCCAGCTCAGAGAACACAACCACCTCAAAAGCTAGGAATTTTAGAATTCACCATAACTTAAGATGATGGTAATGAAAAAACCATGAAGTACTACGCATCTGTTTCATCCTAGTTCGGCACTCTTTTCAAATAATTTAACCAGACTGACTGATTGGTTTCAACATAAAACTTCGCACACATGTGTAGCAGTCCGAATCGCCACACTTCGCTCACTAAACAAAGCAAGAGAAGAAGAAAGTAAAAGGAAATACAAAATAGAGACTGTAAACAGAAATATCAGGCAAAAAATAGTAATACTGAAGAACAACACAGTTCCAATATAGTTCCATTGGGTATCATAAGTCACAAGGAGTGGATGCATCTGTGCCAGCCATTGAGAACGATGAATTTGAGCTATATCACCAATTGTCTCCAGCCGTTGGTGTTTAACGTCCCGAAGACCCCAACCAGCCAGGAAGTCTACACCTCCCTATGTGGCTAGCTGGCATAAACTAACTGTTGTGAATTTCCTTGATTGATGAAGCCATGTTTTGGTTTGACCACCATTAGCCAACTCTTTTCTAACCTGATCCATCATACGCCAGCTAACACTGTCCATCGAGGAAGGCGATGACTATGCTAGTCATGCATAAAACATGTCCTAACCATCTCAGTTGATGTAACTTAACAGGCTCGTCTATTGATTTCCCCTTTATACCTAGCACTCAAAGGTTAACCTCAGTATTGCTCACCCTATTATACTACTTCACACAGGAGATAAAACGCAGACACCTATGATCAACG